AGGAGCATCTTCCTAGAGTGCTGTGTATTTATGGACGTGAGGCTGACCGAGGATGTTGGTCAGCCTCTGCTGGCTGTCGAAGCTTGCAGTCCATCAGGTATCTGCCAGTCTAGAACCCTATGTGTTGGCTGACTTGTCAGCAGGGTGCGACGTACCGTATAATCCCCCACGACTGCCTACGCTCGTTGGCCGTACTTGCAGAGACTTCACTGGAGACTCACTGGAAGCTTGCGAGCTCCTGGTTAGTGTGCTCTAATCACGGTGGTATGTTTCACTTGTATAAGTACTACCACTGCTATGTCAAGAAAAGGCGAAACATTTGTGAGGTTGTAACCGTCAACACAGCGTTCAGACGATCACAGTCATCACTGCAGCTTTGTGACGTTGACCTGCATACACTCGACAGAGGGGCCTTTTCGAAGCCGACAAGACGCGTAATGAAACCTTTCGATGTCAGTACAACTGAAGATTTCCGAGCTTTTACTCCTGCTTACAAGATCCTTATGTACGTCGGCATAGACGTCGAGCTCGCATTCCGCGCAGTCGGCGCGCAGTATATCCTTACTCATTGCCATTGATACACCCGCAAGAAGATCCCATTACACCTGACATCGACAGAGCGCAGCGCACGGTGTTCAACCCGACTCAATATCTCAGGCCTGGTGAGTACGCGCCTCTCGGCAGTGCGGCTGTTTGTAGAATTGTATGAGAACATGATGGAGACGCGAAAAGACGATGCCTGCCCAAAGGGGATGCGTTGGATGCATCTGATCGGCAACCGCCGGAGCTCACCCTAAAGTGCCGCGCTCAAAATTTTGAGCACGCGCTTTCATCCGGATCTCTTCTCGAGGCGTCGTGCACAAATGGTGAGTGTCGTCCTCTCGTCCTGCCTCGACGCGATGATATTATCGTTTACCTCGAGTGCGGGGCTACATTACCAGTGCCTCGTGCGATGCTTTGGATTTTTGTCATAGTTACACTGATCGGTTCTCATTTTCTCTGTCCTTGCGCAGAGCTTCGAACTGACTTCCCTGGCCCACAGATGTTTCTGTACTACTATGATGTGTGAAGGGTAGACGTGTCGTGAGTGCGTATTCTGCTTTCGTTACTTGTTGTCTACTCCTGCGAGGATGATCCAAATCATTCAAACTAGAGTATCTGAGAGCTCACAGAGCTCGATGCTTACTATCATCTGTCAATCCCCTGATGCATCTCTATCTATTCGTCCTTTCTTTGCCCTCGTACTTACACACCCTCCTCTAGACTCAAGGTCAAGCGATGCTGTGGACAGCTGACATAAAGAGTGACTGGGCTTAGGTTGATCAGGTGTGTACCACGTCCTTGCCAAGTTCGCTGCTGCGATGAGACACAAGGAATTACCGCCTGACCCCGCACTGCGGTGTGGGGACTTGTGACGACAATTCCATGGCTGTATTTTTATACTTCTGAGCGCCCCTAATTTGCATCTTTTTAACCCTCGCTGACCTTCTCTCCCAGGTACCCCCAGTGCGCTGAAAGATCTTTTCAAAGATGTTCGCGTATGCTCAAAGCTTCCCATGGTGAGTTTGCTTCCCACTTATCTTTGAATGATGTATACATCACGACGGTCTTCGTATTATCGCTGCCGAAAATGCCCGCACAGCTCAATAACTTCGGGCACCCCATACTGACTCCTCTCTTGTCCGTCATCGACTTCAACTCTTTTACTGACCACACACTCTCCAGGATACTTGTCAACGTCAAATGGTGGGTCAAGACTGACCACTGCTTGCCGTGTTGTGATGATTCGTTTTCAAATTATCAACTAGAAGCTGTTGCTTAGCCTTGGCTTTGATTATATCACGCCTTTCTGAATATTCTTGTTTCGCCTCGTTGACCTTTTGCTGACTATCATTTTCAGATATCTTTAGGTGTCTTGCCCCTCTTTGTAGTCTATGTCTGTAGCTGTAGTCAAGAGGAATATATCGTGCTGTCCAGACATCATAGCATGAAGGGGCGACTAAGAAACTCATTGAAACAAATCAAATTGTTGATTTTCTCCGCCTCGTCCTGGGACGTTCTACATACAGTATTCTCTTTGGTAGCGGATGCGTCGTACAGGACACTGATGCCAGGGCATCCGTTGGCTCGTATACTGGGATGTGTCACGTCCAGGTTGTTGGTCGTAATCAAAAAGAAAATCGTGTGCGCATAGATGGTCGTTGTGTGAAGAGATGACTAGAGAAAGTTGGCCATTGTACATTATTGAAAGATAATACTTTCCAGAGGTCTTGCTGTAGCGTAGCAGACAGGCAGTACGTGGTGTCGTTTCTGGTTCGTTCGTGTTCATCACGCCATTCGTTTCGTTACCGGCAACTTTGCGCGCGTGTCAGACTGCGCTATCGTTTGGCCTGTACCCGCTGTCGTTCGCCGCGTCCTCGCTCGTACGGTCGCGCCGCATACTTTTTATCTCGCCGCGCGAGCGGTCCCCGCTGCCGCTGCGGCTGCGCCGCGAGCGTATGACGGTCTGCACGGGGTCCGGCGGCGACTCGCGCACGTCGATCGTATCCTGCCCCGGGTTGAGCGTCCAGTAGCGGTAGCTGCGTGCACGCCGTCAGTCTCACACATCGGACGAGCTAGCTGTGTCTGGCTTACTGCTTAAGGAAGTAGTAGATTGCGGACGCGATGAGCGAGCCGAGGCCGGGGCCAACCCAGTACTGCAGTCGGGGTCAGAGGAAAGAAGGCCAAAGTCATCGTAGTGGGGACGTACCACCCAGTGTGTGCCATTTGGGAAGCCCGTGACGGCAGCGGGACCGAAGGCGCGAGCGGTGTTGACTGCGCCGCCGGTGTAGTACACAGAGAAAAGCTCGCATGAGAACAGAGTGAGGCCGATGCCGACCTAGACAAAGTCGTTAGAAGGTGACAGGGTGGGAAAAAAGTAGGGGCCGCACCGGCGCGAACGGCGTCGCGATGTGTTTCTCGGCCGCAAGCATGAGCACGGCGAGGCATAGGCAGGCGGTGGTAAATGCCTCGATGAACACGCCTTGTGCCGGATTGATCCCAGGTGCGAGTTCGGGGCTGGTAAAGACTTCAGCGTGGACGGGACAGGTGCCAAGGAGCCCGATGCTCACTTTGAGGCGAGATCACCCGGGGTCAACGCGACAACGAGGCCTGCGGCTGCGATGCCACCGACGAGCTGCGCGATACAAAAGAGTACGAAACGCACGGGGCGGATGACACCACAGAGGAGCAGCGCGGTGGTCACGTTTGGGTTGAAGAGGCCGCCGGTGACGCGGAAAAAGAGCCACGCAGAGATGAGCAGGCCGAAGCCAAAGCAGAAAGAGATGTAAAGGACGCGCTCGACTCCGCTGCCGGACGTGCCCACCGACGCCTGCTCGGAAACGGTCGCCTGCACGCCGCCAAAGGCAAGTGTCAAGAAAGTGGCTGTGCCGATGAACTCGATCAGGGCGGCATGGAGGTCGTCGCGGAGCGTCGCGAAGGGGCTAAGGTGTGGTGGGGGCATAGTGGCTAGCGCGTCGGCGGGAGAGTTGCGCCCTGAGACCCGGGGCATAGTGGGTGAGTTGGAGGGGCAATGGGGGCATCATCAGGGAATAAAGCAGGTATGTATAAAGCCTGACGTTGCAATCATGGGGTGATAGTCTAAGAGACAGGAGTCGTGGTTGTTCGATCGTTTTCGGCGGGTGTCATTGGGAGTGTGCGGCTACAGAATAACGGAGCCAAGGACGGTCAATTCCACGGACCCTATTCGTGCCGAGGCCAACGCAGTAGGATGGTGGACCGAAGACTTATTGATTGTATGCAAGCGCACTGGGCTCTGCACTCTAGCTTGGACCCTGAGCCACAGGAGTGTTGGGGAATGCTCGCAGAGAGCCACCGGATTTGGCGCCCCACCTGACAAATTGAGGCACCCGCGAACGACGAGGCCAGTTTCTAGTCCCAATCTGCCCCTCTGTTGCTCCTGCTGCGTTTGATTTCACTGCGCTTGTCCTTGAACTGCTTCCGCTGTGCCCGTTCCGCCGCCTCAAAGCGTCGCACCCGCGCCTTCTGTGTCTCGGACGTCTCTGCGACCAGGGCGCCGGCGGACGCAGACAGGACCAGTGCGTGGAGCTGTCCGATGGGTGTAAAAAATTAGCTCGCAGCCGTGTATGTGACGACGTCATCAGGGATGCGAGCCACTGACCTTGGCCAGGCAATCTTCGACATTCTGAGCCTGCGAGCGATGCACCGTGGAGGTCACCAATAGCGTCTCACTCGACGATACGTAGCTCGGCTGCTCGTCTAGCTGTTAGCCTGGTTTGCCTTCCACTGGCTGGTCACATACCGATCTCTTCAATACTTCGCGCGACCACGCTGGGATCCACTTGGAGTTCACCGGACATCGCACTGTCGCCTTTGTATTCACCTTGTTCACGTTCTGCGTCCATTCGATATCAGCATGCGCACGGACGGACGAGAGGGAGACTGAACGCAACCTGTCCGCCGGGTCCAGAGCTCCGTGCAAAGCTCAGTTCCACCAGCTCGCGCGGAATCTGGCGCGCCTTGAAGTCCTCGACCCAGCTGCGCGCGCGGGCGTTGTCCTCGGGCGTGGTCAGGCTTTTGAGATCTGGCGGGCGCGGTATGTTCGGCCCCGTGCTCATCCACCGCACTGCCCCTCCATATGTGTACGCGTGCTGGCGGGCCCGGACGACGGCAAAAAGCCCGAGCATGTCGTGGACAGCCGTCCACAGGTAAGAATGCAACGGCGGGTCACCCCAGTGAGGAGTCGGTGTCTCGGATGGACGGTGAGGCGTGACCGTTCCAAGCGCTACTCCGACTTCCTGGACAGTAACGTCTCGCCCGGAAATAGGACGATGTGCGCCGCCGCTCGCAGTAACCGAATCCCTGAACAACTTTGAGCCACGGTCGTCGTCGTCAGTGACTCCGGGGCCTTAATATTGACCGACTCAGACCGAGTCGCAATGTAGCTGAAGAAAAAAAGACCTCCAGCGACAATAATGGCATGAGGCCAGGGCGATTTGAACGCCCAACCTTCTGGAAGCTCGCAATCAAAATCACGCAGCTGGAATCAGACGCGCTACCATTGCGCCATGGCCCCGACAACAGCAAACTCTATCTATGTACGTTATAAGGTGTAGAAACGCGCTCGCCGTCTCGTGAATAACCGAGTGCTACAGCGCCGCTGTAGTCCTCACAGCCTACGATGGTGTCCATCACCATTTCTGCGGCGAAAAGGACCTCGCTCGCGAAGGACCTGCCCGCCACCCTCAACTTTCCAGACAAGACTGTAGATACACTCACTGTCTCGGACGTAAAGAGCGCCTTTGCTGCCAAGTATCCTCAGGTATACATATCACGTCCTCACCCCATGAGACACTTGGTTAACTGACTGCAACCGTAGTTCTATCCTTCGCGTCAAAAGATTTCGTTGAAAGGCGACAACAAGCTCCTTGCAGATGAAGCTACCCTCGCCAGCGTCGGTCTCACTGATGGAGCTGAGCTGGCAGTAAAGGACTTGGGAGCACAGATTAGCTGGACGACGGTCTTTGTTATTGAATACGTGCGTCACATTTTGGCAGGAATATCCCCAGTCTAAGTCAACTTGCGCGTGCTGTAGATTGGTCCTCTCGTCGTACACCCACTTATGTACCACTTCCCAAGCGTCTTCTACAGAACAACCGTCGAGCACAGTCTCCTACAAAAGTAAGTAAGCATCTCTTCATAAATCATAGATGCTAAGCCATGTAGATACGTGTATGCAATGGTTATGCTGCACTTCCTCAAACGTGAATACGAATCTCTCTTCGTCCACCGATACTCACATGGTACCATGCCTTTCGCCTATGTATTCCGCAAGTGCGCTATCTCAATGCTTCGCAAAACCCGGTCTCTGATTATCATCTTGTAGCTCCTTCCACTACCACGTTCTCGGCGGAGTCGCTCTCGCATATGCGGCGTACAGTCCAACATATGCGAATACCTCGTCCTACATCGTAGGCACTATTCGTGACGACCCCAAGTTCCTCATGGGAGGTGCTCTCGTCTGGCTGGTGCGTATTTCATGCTTGCACTAGGTTTGCTTAACATGTCACGAATATGTTTCCATTTCAGTGGGCCGAGGTCTCGAACTTGAAGACTCACGTGACCTTACGCGACCTCCGCCCAGCGGGTACGAAAACACGCGCCATCCCATACGGTTACGGCTTCAACAAGATCACTTGCCCGAACTATTTCTTCGAGATTGTTGGGTGGCTTGTTGTGTGCGTGATGACAGGCAGTTACGCTGGTGCGTTTCCTGTTTTTCCTTCCCGACTGTGCAATTGACTCTCCCTGTTATGGGCTACAGCGTGGTTCTTCCTCATCACGGGCACGTACATGATGGCCCTCTGGGCGATGAAGAAGCACCGGAACTACAAGAAAGAGTTTGGGAAGGCGTACCCGAAGCGGAACATCATGATTCCTTTCATCTGGTAGCCCCCACCGCGCACCTGAACAGTTGCACGCGTACATACCTTCTTTTCTAAACCACCGCGCGGAGCGCTGTCGTTCGTCTTGACGCGTTGCTCGCACACTTCATGAAAAGAAAGCTAATTCTCATTTGCAATAACGGAGTGCGTGCGGAGGATGAACAAGAGCCCGGTTTGGTGGCCGTATGGGGACCCTTGTGTGCTGCAGTTGGCTAGCTAGTTAGGGGATGCTGTAAGCGAGCCACATTTCCTCCGCGACGCTGACTCCGCCAAGCCCCGCGCCGACCCACCCGCTCACGAGCTGCGCGAGCGCGGTCTTGACGGCCCACCCGGCGAGGATCACGAGTGTCGTTAATAGCGGGTGACAGTCGAGCACCACTGCGCGCATCCCTGCGTCAGCGCGCGCCGCACTAGTGGTTAGGAAGTATGCACGCACCGCGAAGCCCGAATCCCGTCGCCATCCCGCCGAGGACGTTGCGCACGATCCACGCGCGGTCGAGCGTGTCGTCGTCGAGTAGAGTGAGCGCGCGCAGGGCGAGCGGATGTGTGAACAGCTCGCTCGCATTGTGCTGCGGCGCCAGACGTGGCGCACCGCCGATCGAGTCGGACTTGGGGCGCCAGATCGTGAGCAGGAAGAGAAGGAAGAATTTGTTGAGCGACGAGTAGAGGATGGTGAGCGGTATGTGCGAGTAGCGGAACTGAAGACGTAGGCCGGACGGCGCGATTTGTACGCGCTTGAACGAACGGACCCGGTCCAAGGAATGCAGCACGATGAAACTGGCGAAAGTTACGCCAATATGAAACCCTAATGTCTCTATATTGTCGAGTCAGAGTACTCGGGAGTGGCATACAGGTTTAGACAGACCGATGAGACACCCGACGAGGATGCGGAAGTAGCCTCCTAAGGCATCTTGGTTCCAGCTAGCAACTTCGTCATAGGTCGAGTCCTGGTCAAAGGAGGCGCTAGGATCTGCCGCGTCATTGTATGTAAGGCGTACGACACGCAGAATGAGTCAGGATAAACAAACTGATATGCGTCCAACGGATGACTGTCGCGGATGAGCCTAAGTCAATCGGCGACAATAACATGGAAACATACAGGCGTCGATGGCAATAAGCCCAAGTCCCAGCTGAGCAATTAGGAACCACCGTCTCTGTGAACGCACGTGAGAAGGGCTAGAGAGCAGCCAGGTTGCCCGCGCTTGCCTTTTCTCTGTGATGCTCTGTGCTCGCCAATGATGGAACGTTCTCGCGTGCTTGGTTTGATTTATCAGTAGTGAGGCGTCTCGCGCCAGCTTCCCTGTTGAACAAGAGGTGCCTGAACACATCTCTCTTGAGGAGGATCAAGTCAATCCAAAGTGTCAGGGCGTCGTGCTCGACGTAAGGATCCGCGAATGAGCCACATTCGCTCTGGCCATAAGCGTGAGGCGGCACGTTTGTTCCCGAGCAAGGTCCCGACTCACGCACTGCTCTAATCTCAGATTATCCCGCGAGTTGTACACTGTGTACAAGTATGGTGTTGGATGTGTGCAGTTTGTGCAGATCGGCATCTATTCCAACGCCACATCTGGTTAATTTAGCTAGTGTATTGGCCGTTTGGGAATATCCTCTTACATTCTGTTCGACGAGAAGCTCGTGGTTGTGCGAAGAGAGGCAACCACCTGGTACGCGAATGGATGCCAAAGCGCGACCTCCACGTGGGCGCCACGAGGCGACAGGCGACGCGAGTAGCTGGCGCCCATAATCCATTACGCTTAACCATCGCACAGCTACGATGCCGCCAGCCTCTGCCGCTTCGTCGACGAAGGCCCTCAATGCCATTCTGCCGTTAATTTCCTCTGGACAGCCGTACGAGGCCCACCAGAAAGCCCGCACGTTTGCGGCGCGCTACCAGAAGTCGGGGCAGAACGACACCGCGATCGATGTGCTCTTCCAGTCTGCGCGTGAACTGCTCAAAGCGGGGCAACAGGGAAGCGGGACAGACCTTACGCTGTTCTTGTTGGCAGTGTATGATACAAAGGGCGAGGCGGTCTCTGATGAGAGCCGAGGTAAGCAGGAACCTCTCGCACCACCGCAGAGAGACTCACCAGTGTCCCTCTGTGCACAATAGGTCGACTCACACAGCTAATTGCGCTGACCGGGACCTCAGGGTCATGGAGAAAGACGATCATAGACCGAAGCATTGCGTAGGTGGTCTTCTCGTGTCTAGCCGTTAAAGGCTAATGGCCGCTGTAGATGGTCGGCGAAGCATGGTCCCTGTCCCTCCGGTGATCCTAGTCTGCAGCACTATATTGGAGAACTTCTCTACAAAGGTTCGCTAAAGCTGCTTACTACGCCGGTGGTGCTATTCTTACGTGTCCTATTCTTCTATGGCTGTAGAGGGAGCGTACGAGGCGGCCGAAGCTCACCTTCTTGCAGCCGGCAAGCGAGACAGTGCCCGAGTGCTGGCCGACATGTTCGTGCAGTGGTCGTCTACTGGCGGCGCGCCGGGGGTATTTGCTCTTCGCGGAACCATACCGTGAGTGTGCCTACTTGCTGTTGCCATCGAATTCCCATCAGGCAGCGTGCCGTCTGGATTTCACTCCACGACGACGACGCGGTCACCGCCCTCTTTTTCCGCCATCTCCTGGCCAATGTTGCGTCCGTGTGAAACGAGAGGGACACGGCTGACTATGTTATGCGCCCACTTTTCCAGGTACCTACAGAACGGTAATATCCTAGCTGCACGGGCCTTCTTGGCGCAGTTGATCTCGCGGTTCGCTTCCACGCGCTCCGAATTTGTATCGCCGCTCCACCCAACCCCGCTGCCTGTCGGACAGCCTTCCAACGGCCACCAGGACGAGGTGGTCTTGACCAAGGACACGCTCGTCAACTTTGCGCAGTTTGCCGTCCGGACATGTCAGCGTGCCCAGGGCGACAAAAACAGGGCGGTTCGGGAAGCCTGGGTCCGTCTGTGCGGGACATATCAGAGTAAGGGCGGACCGCTGGCGGCTAAAGAAGTTCGCAAGGTGAGTGGCTGCCGTCCTAGCCAGTCAAGGGCCATGCCGGGGGCTTCTGCTTGAATCTTCATCACGAGCTCCACAAAACGGGTATCGTCACCCTCCGGGGACCCTGTACGCAATGTGTCGGTACGCCGGTGCTGTGCGGGGCTCGCGGCTGCTGCACCCACTCGCCACTGCACCTGGCCTGCGCGTTCCCTCGCCCCTTCTGATAGACCCTGACCCGGCTCTTACTGTATGCTGATCACTTTTCTCCTTTCCCACCGCTACACTAGGAGCTCGCCGAAATCGCAGAGCTGTACTTCGCCATACCGCCGCCGCGTGGGCAGGCCGGCAACCCCCTGGGGGATATGTTGTCCGCGATGCTCGGTGGCGCTCCAAGTGCGCCCGCCCCGAGACGGCGTGTCCTGGCCTCTGCCCCGCCGAGCGGTGCGCCTGGCCTAGACTGACCGGTGGAGGGACGAGCTGCAGTGAGATCTATATCGACGGTGCTAGTTACAATCGCGCCTCCCTGTATTCGTTGCCCGCCGATGTATGCGATTGTGTTGGATGTGTACAGACAGACGGACGGTCCAATACAGTTTTCCTTTGTCTCGCTATCGGCTCAAGTTTAGAGAGCTGCGAAGACGCCG